CCCCCCCCCCCCCCCCCCCCCCCCCCCCCTACTCCGCCGCCCTTCGCGGCCCCCGATCCGCCGCCCTCGCGGCCACGATCCGCCGCCCTTCGCGGCCCCGATCCGCCGCCCTCGCGGCCCCTACACCGCCGCCCTCGAGGCCCCGATCCGCCGCCCTTGCGGCCCCGATCCGCCGCCCTCGCGGCCCCTACTCCGCCGCCCTCGCGGCCCCTACTCCGCCGCCCTCGCGGCCCCGATCCGCCGCCCTCGCGGCCCCGATCCGCCGCCCTAGCGGCCCCGGCCCCTGCTCCTACGGCCCCGGCGCCTGCTCCTACGGCCCCCACGCCTACTCCTACGAGCAGCCCAGCCGCCGAGCCGCCCAGCAACCTAGCAGCCCAGCCGCTGAGCCGCCGAGCCGCCCAGCAACCGAGCCGCCCAGCCGCCGAGCCGCCCAGCAGCCGAGCCGCCCAGCAGCCGAGCCGCCCAGCCGCCGATACGCCCAGCAGCCGAGCCGCCCAGCAGCCGAGCCGCCCAGCCGCCGAGCCGCCCAGCAGCCGAGCTGCCCAGCAGCCGAGCAGCCGAGCCGCCCAGCAGCCGAGCCGCCCAGCCGTCGAGTCGCCGAGCCGCCCTGCAGCCGAGCCGCCCGAGCCGCCCTGTCCGGTAAGAGCAGCGCCTCTCTCACAGCACTGCCCTCACCCTACTGTTTGCACTGCTAGTCTACTGCTGTCATGGCTACCCCTCAGTGTCCTCGCTTTGACGCTGAGGGTCGGGCCATTGACTTTGAAGTCTGGATAGATGACCTGCAGCTTTTCTTACAGTGCGATAGGGCAGACGGCCTCTCCCTCTTTGACCTCACTTCTGGTGCCTCTCCTGCCCCCGCTGCTGATGCTGACGCCACTGTTCGCTCACAGTAGGCCACGCGCGATGCTGCTGCACGTCTTGCTGTGCGTCGCCACCTACCTACCTCTGAGCGTGCGCACTTTAGCCAGTACAAGAGTGCTCAGACCTTGTACGACGCTGTAGTTGCACGCTACTCCTCCCTTGCCACTGCTGCACTGAGCCGCCTCATGCTATCGTACCTCTTCCCTGACCTTGCTGCCTTTCCCACAGTCGCTGACCTCATTACGCACCTCCGCACTAGTGACACTCGCTACCGCGCTGCGCTTCCTGCTGAGTTCTGCGCCAAGAACCCCCCCCCCCATGTACATCACCCTCTACTACATAGTCACCCGTCTCCCTGACTCCCTTCGCGTAGTCAGGGACCACTTCCTCTCGGTTTGCCCACCACTCTCACCGTTGACCTCCGCGAGAAGGCCCTCCTAGCAGCAGAAAAGAGCATAGTCGCTGTAGGAGCCTCTCGTGGTGACCCTCGCACCCCCATCTTTGAGGGGTGTTCCCCCTCCCCTCTCTTGCCCTCTGTTGCCTCTGTTGCTGCGGCCGACCTCGCTGGTTTGGAGTCGGTTGGGGCAGCGTCTACCCCTAGCGGGAGACGCCGCCCTGCAAGGGCAAGGGGGGCAGGGGCGCTGGAGGAGCTAGCGGGGGCGGTGGAGGCGGCGGTGGAGGCGGTGGAGGAGGTGGGGGTGGCGGTGGGGGGTGGTGGCGGGGGTGGAGGTGTAGGTGGCGGCAGTGGAGGCGCAGGCGGCAGCGGCGGTGGCGGAGGGAGCGGAGGTGGCGGCGGTGGAGGAGGAGGCGGCGGAGGAGGTGGAGCTGGTCGGGGTGGCGCTGCGCAGAGGGTCGGCTCCGGTGGTGGTCAGCGCCAGCAGCTGCAGCAGCAGCAGCAGCAGCGCACTCGTGACGTCCCCTCCCCTCAGCAGCTCCGTGAGTGGTACACTGCACGCCAGAGGGGTGGGGGTACTGGTCCGTGCACCTACGTCCTGCGCACCGGTGACCGCGCGGGTGAGCAGTGCGGGGGTGCGCACTCCACCCAGCGCTGCTTTGGCCGCCTGACGGACGCTTGGCGTCACCAGTTCCCTGAGGCCACTGAGATCCCCCGCTGGGGTGAGCTGTCTAGGGCGGGTGTAGCTGTCTTTGACCTTGACTTTGATGCTATTCTTGCTGCCATGTATACTGTGACTATTAGTGATGAGGGTGATTGTTACTGGTGTTTTCCGCCCGACCCGGGCATTGAGACTGCTGCTCTAGGTACTGGTGAGGCTGCTGCTCTAGGTGCTAGCGAGGCTGCTGCTCTAGGTGCGTCTGCTCCCTCAGGTACTGGTGAGTCTGCTCTCTCAGGTTCTGCGTCGGCTTCGGCCTCCCACACCTTCACCCTTGACTCGGGGGCTTCTCGCTCCTTCTTTCGAGACCGCACCACACTCACGCCGCTTGGCCGGCCAGTTGCGGTCTCTCTGGCAGACCCCTCTGGGGGTCCTGTCCTTGCTCACTTCTCCACTGTCCTCCCGTGTCCGGCGGCCCCCCTCTGGCACCCTGTCTGGTCTTTACCTCCCCTCGTTCTCTACGAACTTGGTGAGTGGTGCTGACCTACAGGATGCGGGGGTTCACCAGTTCACTCCTGCGAGTCAGCGGGTGACCCACTGCACGGACGCTCGGACAGGCCGACACCTGGCCACGTTTACACGTCGGCCGGGGTCGAGCCTGTACACACTGACCACTGCGTCTCCCCCAGTCCCTGCGTCTGGTCAGGTAGCTGCGTCGGGTCAGGTGTTTGCTGCAGCGTCCAGGTCTGGTCCTGAGTCTGCCCCCTGCTCGTGTCGCCTCCTGTCTCACGAGACTCTCCTCTGGCACCACCGCCTTGGTCACCCCTCCCTGCTTCGTCTCCGGAGCATGGCCTCCCGTGTCCTTGTCTCTGGTCTTCCCCGGTCCCTCCCTCCACTTCCTCCGGGGCCTGGCCCTACCTGCGTCCCCTGTGTCGAGGGACGACAGCGGCCTACCCCTCACTCCTCCCAGTTTCCTCCGACAGAGGCCCCGCTGCAGACGCTTCACATGGACGTGTGGGGCCCGGCCCGCGTCCGTGGACAGGGTCACGAGCGCTACTTCCTGCTGGTGGTTGACGACTACTCGCGTTACACCACAGTCTTCCCCTTGCGCAGCAAGGGTGATGTCACTGAGGTGTTGATCGACTGGATCCGCGCAGCTCGTCTCCAGCTCAGGCGGAGCTTCGGCTCGGACTTTCCTGTTCTGCGTCTGCACTCTGACAGAGGCGGAGAGTTCTCCTCTGGCCTTCTGCGAGCCTACTGTCGTGCACGAGGCATCTGCCAGACCTTCACGCTTCCGGACTCTCCACAGCAAAATGGGATTGCTGAGCGCCGCATTGGCATGGTCATGGACGTCGCCCGTACGTCCATGATGCATGCGGCTGCCCCCCATTTTCTGTGGCCGTTTGCGGTTCGGTACGCGGCGCATCAGATCAACCTTCAGCCCAGGGTCTCCATGCCGGAGACCTCCCCAGCCTTGCTGTGGACGGGGAAGGTTGGCGATGCGTCTGCGTTCCGTGTCTGGGGATCTCGGGCGTTTGTCCGCGACTTGTCTGCGGACAAGCTGTCCCCTCGTGCTGCTCCTTGCGTCTTCCTGGGTTTCCCCCCTGACGCCCCAGGGTGGCAGTTCTACCACCCCACCTCTCGCCGTGTTCTGTCCTCCCAGGACGTCACATTCGACGAGTCGGTCCCCTACTACCGCCTCTTCCCCTACCGCACTCCGTCCCTCCCCCCGCCACCGCTCTTCCTTGTACCAGGTCCCCCCCCGGTAGACCCCCTCCCCCCTCAGGGTCCTGCCCCTTCAGGTGTGTCCCAGGTAGACGCTGTTGAGCCTGTCGAGGTCGCTGGTGACTCTGGTGCTGCTGAGGGTGCTGAGCCTGGGGGTGCTGACTCTGGGGGTGCTGAGCGTGTGGGTGCTGACTCTGGGGGTGCTGAGCGTGTGGGTACTACGACTGGGGGTGCTGAGCCTGGGGGTGCTGCGTCTGGGGGTGCTGAGCCTGGGGGTGCTACGCCTGGAGGTGCTGAGCCTGGGGGTGCTGCGTCTGGGGGTGCTGAGCCTGGGGGTACTACGCCTGGAGGTGCTGAGCCTGGGGGTGCTACGCCTGGTGGTGCTGTGCCTGGCGGTTCTCCGGGTGCTCCTTCTCGCCGGGAGCCACTCTCTCCCCAGGAGCTGCGTGAGTGGTTTGCCCGGCGCTGGAGGCGAGCTGCTGGAGCTGGAGGTGCTGCGGGTACTGGAGGTTCTGTTGCTGCTGAGAGAGCTGGTGCCACGGGTCCCAGAGGTGCTCGTACTGGGAGTACTGGAGCTGCTGGACCTGCGGGTACTTCTGGAGCTGGAGTTGCTGCGGGTGTTGGCGCGGAGGCTACTGCTGTCGGTCCTGGAGGCGGTCCTGCTGGGGGTACTACTGGTGCTGCTGGGGGTTCTGGAGCTGGAGCTGCTACTGGTGCTGGTGCTGCCACTGGGGGTGCTGGTGCTGTCCCTCCTGTGTCTGGAGTCGCCGCGCGGCCTCGGCCATACTTCGTTCCGCTCCTTCAGCAGGTTCTTGGTCTCCCGCCTGTTATAGTCACAATAGGCTTGAATGTGCCTAAAACGAAAGATAGAGAGCACAGACGGATTTCTGCACAGCGGCTTCAAACGTTGATAGCGTTATGCTCACAGCTGCAAATGACTTGATTCAAATTGGATCTGGAGCGTCTTCATGTCGTCTACAATTAGCAATTTAGATTGCACGATTTGATAAAGAATTGACGACACAGCGTCGGTTTGAACGAACGGTACTATGGCAGCCACTATAGTCTTAGAACACAAGATAGGAAGAGTTACGAGTTGGGAATGACTCCCAGCTCCTACAAACCCCAAGAGCCGAGGTACAGTGATGTGGAACAGTACCACACTGTCCCCAACCACGAAGGGTCTCGAAACTACCCTTCACTAGGGCCTACACCAAGTGAAATGTTACACTACACAAAGTAATGTAACTATCTTCAATATCTTGAGGTGTACCCTTTTGGCAAGCTTCGAAATCACTTGAGGCTTGACACCAAGGCTCGGGCTCTTCATCACAAACTCATCCTTGAGTTCTTCATGGGTCTGCTGCACACACCTGCGACACGCCGAACGTTCGACACAGGACAAAATAGAAACCGCGCACGACAAAATAGAAACCGCGCGCGAGACACAAACGACCGCGTAACACGCGTCTAGCGATAACTCGCTATTGACTCGACACACACACTCGACATCATGACTCAACATTCACACACAATTATAAGCATGAAATATATATTATCCCATGCCCTCATACCATTCCATACACACACACATTCACGCACACGGACAACAAGCCGAGTGCAAACCGTAGGGTTGCACCAACAAACTCCCCCTCGGATTGTTGGCCTTAGGATATGTTGCTCTCTCAGTTCAGAGCCATCCCAGCCAGCTTGCAACATTTCCAATGCTGCTGCTCCACCAGCCTCTTGGTCATCATGTCAGCCGGCTGCCCCGTGGTCTTCACGTAGTGCAACTCAACTTCACCCGCGGTTACCATGCTCCTCGTCCAATGCCACTTCACCCTCATGTGCTTCGTGAGTCCATGCAACACAGGGTTCTTAGCAAGAGCAATGGCACCCTGGCTGTCACAGTACAGTGGGGTAGGTCCTTGCTGCTCCTCCCCCAATTCAGCCAACAAACGCCGCTGCCACACAATCTCCCGTACGGCACGGAAGAGTGCCATGTACTCGGACTCCACCGAGCTCAAAGCTTGGTCAACCTGCTTCTTGCTCTCCCAAGCAGTTGGGCCTCCACCAACGCAGCATATGAAGCCTCCCACACTTGTCATGTCCTCTGGTTCTGATGCATATGAAGCATCCGAGTAGGCGGTGAGGAACAAACGCCCGGGTTCAACACCATCCGCGCCCTTTTGGCGCCTTTGTGCCGCCGCCGAGTATTGCAGCCCAACGGTCGGTGTTTGGCCAAGATACTTGGCCACCCTCATTCCAGCTGCTACCTGCTCCTCATTAGGGCATTGCACAACCCTAGCCAGCTGCCCGGTAGCAAACGCGACGTCCGGTCGGGTGTTTACCGCCGCATACATGAGGCTGCCCACCAACGAGTGAAATCGGCGCCTCTCCTCTTCACCAACGCTCTCCTCCTCTGGTCCCTTCACACACTTGAACCCAGAGGGAAAGGGTGTAGCCACATGGCCTTCACTCTGCCCAAAGTTGGCAGCCAATGCCTCCAGGTACTTTCGTTGATGCACCCACATGCACCGCTTCTCCACATCTCGTTCGATGTGGAGCCCAAGGTAGAAGCTCACGTCACCAAGGGCCTTGCACTTGAACTTGTCTTGAAGCTTCAGCATCACCTCCTTCACAAGGTCAGAAGAGGGTGAGAAAATGAGGATGTCATCCACATAAACCACCATGAAACTCCTCTGCTCCCCCTCGCCAAGCATGAACAAGGAGTGATCGGCCGTTGAGGGAGTGAAGCCGATCCCCTCCAACACTTCGCGCAGCTTCATGTACCATTGCCTAGGGGCCTGCTTCAGCCCATAGAGGGCCTTCTTCAGCTTCCACACTCTGCCACTACCATCATCAAACCCCTCTGGCTGCGCCATAAAAATCTCCTCCTCAAGGATGCCGTTAAGGAATGCCGTTACGATGTCCATTTGCTTTACTACCCATCCTTTGATGGCGGCTCCCGCGAATAGGGTTCGCAGCGTCGTCGGCTTCACCACAGGGGCAAACAGCTCCTTGAAGTCCACCTTCTCCTTCTGCTGGTACCCCTTGGCTACAAGCCTAGACTTGTAGCGCTCGATCTTGCCGTCGGCATCCGACTTGATTTTGAAGAGCCACTTGGACGTTATCGCCGTACGCCCCTCCGGTAGCTCCACCAATTCAAACGTGTCATTCTCCTCGATGCTCTTCAGCTCACTCTCCATGGCCTTCTTCCACTCCTCAGCATCACTACTCTCCAAAGCCTCCTTGAGAGTTGCTGGTTCTCCCGGCATCTCCACCGGAGAGAAGAACGCGAAGGCACACTCCTCGTAGTCACTCTCCTCGTCGTCTCCGACCATCATTGCCGCTCCGGCCAGGGCTGTCTTGCCCTGCTTTCCCGGCGCATCATAGGTCAGCCTATTAGGGGGTTGAACTCTCC